GAATCGAACAAGATCCAAGCTCCAAAGGAGTTCACAAGCAATGTCCCTTCCACTATGGCTCCACTCGTACCATGATCGTATGGTACGACTGCATAAACCCTATCGGTGGCTGAAGACTACGGTGTGGAAGGTGGTGGAACATATGAGACTATTTATCCCTGAGGAATCTCCTGGATAGCATGTATCTGGCCTACTGGCCCGTCAATCCTCGGAATATAGGTAGTGCCTCGATCCTCTACTACTAACCGTAACTGTGGCCTTGCGACTACTGACCCTGTCCATAATTCTACTACTACTGTTTGTGTCCACAGCCCTACTGCTGGCCTTAGCCTTTGCTCTACTGGCCTCCTGTTGGTGCACTGCGATAGTCATTGGCCCTATGTCCGATCTTGTTGTAGTTGTAACATGCACCTTGAATCCTATGCTACTGAGGCACTCTAGAATCCTGTTGTGACCCCTTCTTAGAAGGTCCTTACTGCTGGTGATGAAAATCCTTACCCCGCTGCTGAGGTCCTCTAAGTCCTACAAAAGGTCTCTTGTCCTTGCCCTTGTCACCATGTTGTCCTGCCTTAGAACTACTTTCCTTGATGTTCTAAAAAATCATAGTCTCTATTTCTTACAAAATAGCGGCATTAGCTAACTCTCGAACTGAGTAGAATCATCTGGAAATGAGGTAACAGTGAAGGCTTGGATGAAGCCCTATAAGAAACATCTGAGCCTGGTGCTCTCCTATCTACCACATGCTTGTGAATCGAAGTAAACTCATAAATCTGCTCTCGTAGTCGGCTACGAACATGTCTCTCTGCTCTAGTCTGGATAGCTCTAGCTCTTTCCAGGCCCTTGTTGCAAAAGAGATATACTGCTCGTCAAAAAGTAAACAAAATCTTTCCAAGTGAGTATCATCCAATGTTCTGGGGTGAATTGAAGCCTATACCATCCTCTGGCATCATCTTTAAGATTTTAAACTGCTAATCTCTGCTTCTGCACTGAATCAACATCAAGTAGATCAATAATATTTCCCACGTCTTCCTTCTACTTGTGGGCTACTCGTGAGTCTGACGATCCCTGAAACTCTGGTGCCCTCATCTTCTAGTACCGTTCAACTAGACGCAGTCATGTCTCCTGCTTTGCGACCCTATCAATTACTGATGGTGGTGTAACTCTTGGTGTACCTTCTAGGGACTCCTCTGTAATAGGTATAGTTGGAATCACTGGTGGTGGAACCATAGGTAGTGGTGCAACTGGTGGAGTCTGGTTCGCCACTCGCTCCTCAAGTGCTGCTAGCCTAGCTGCTATGGGTGCCATGAGGTCAATCAGATAGTATGGAGCCTACTATATATATATATATATATATAACACATAACGTATCACATATCATTCATGCAAATACTTTATAATACTCAAAGTAAAATAGTTGTCATATAAATTTTTTTGAAATACACGTACATAACGTCATCACTCATTCTAGGAATTCCTAGCGAACTCTATACATGAATCCTAAGAAACTCTATTCTAGCTCCATGACTCGATACAGGATGATCCTAAGGATACTGGAACTAGAGCTCTGATACTAACTGTGACGCCCCTGTTTTTACACATGGATGTAGTCTAAGGTAAATCCAGAGATGTCAATCCTGCCATGCACCCATACTGTGTAACAACATGTTTCACCATTATAGTAATATCTCTCTAGTGGAATCAACAACAAGTGTAGGTACAAAATAGGCAGAATAAGGTAAATAAATACATTAGACATGACGTAGAAAGGGATATCTAATAAATATAATCATGTCTCAACTGAATAAATTGATTACAACTGAAGTCTAAAATAAATGTGAACTATCTCAATATGAGTCAACTGAAAATAAACTAAGGCACACAGCCTTTATAAGATGAAATACAAAACTCTAAATGCCTAGAGATAAATATCAACTATGGTGGAGTCTCATATACTAAAAATATATGACGACGACTATGCTGGAAGTCCGTCTTCTTGCAGCTCTCCGGAACTCTGAGCTGCTGCCTGAAAGGAATTGAAAAATAAAAAGAGAAATAACAAGAGCGTCAGAGCACTACAATAAGATTATCTCCATCCGCCCCCAGGGGAAGGGCTACTAGATGTGATGGAGGCTCTATCAATTAAGCATAGTCTACTTAGATCATTTACCATATATCTAAATGGAATTAATATTTAGAAACCTACACCACGAGATGTAGTACGTCAAGCAAAATAATTCAAACAAGGAAATCCTCATGTATATAACATATGTCTCAAATTGTAGATAACTAAATATCAATACCGGACTAAGAATAAATAATCTAAATAGAATCAATAGTTAAAAACTCACAACACGAGGCTGGCACATCAAGCGAAATAATTCAAACAAGAAAACCCTCATGTATATACCATATGTCTTAAATTGTGAATCGTTAATCATCAATCCTAACTAAGAATAAAGGATAGCAATACAAGAAAGTAAAATCATCACAATATCGGACCAAAAAATATCTTTCACTATCCTTTGGAAGATAATGTAAACAACTACATATAATCCCACGTACGTACAAGAGTAAAGTACCTCGGTCATATATAACTTAGCGATGAGTCATGTTCATAAATGGTGTCCACCAAGACTCAGACTATCAGATAATTATCACAATGCAAATCCATACAAAGTTTATAATTCATCGCATTATCATGCGGATCAGCATCCAAAAAGTGTACATGGCTCATTAGTCTCATCGTATCAACGTGCGAGATGAACTACCAAATCAGGCATCCTAGGTATACAGCTCATAAGTCTCATCGCATCTACGTGCGGGACAGACTACTAGGTCAAGCATCCTAAAACCCGACTCAATGGCCTGTACTAATGGTATATCGATGCACTATCCCAAGTAGTACTGAGCAGTGCTCATCAACGATATCCATACAAGTAAATAATGTTTAAATAACTCATATATCCCGTATAATCAAAATAATAACTATACTAATCCTCTTCAAGATACTCATGTGTGTGTTACGACACTATACATATATACTCATGATTATACATGTATCATCAAGCGCCTCGAACCCCGTGTTCGAAAACAAAAGGTGTAAAAACAACACTTTAAATAAAAGAGAACATAGGTCGGTCGAACGCCGCTAGGGCATCGGTCAACCGAACACAAACGTGCACAAAGTGCGCTCACAGGATCTCACCGGTCGACCGACTAGCCATGGTCGGTCGACCGGCCAGAGAAGATCTTCACAGATTTGGTTTTGACGTTTATATTTTTATAACTTTATTCAAAAATTTAATTTTATTAACATGAGGTATATAACAAGATTTAAAATTTTATATTTGCTTAACAGGGATTAACTTAACATGATTTAAACTCTTGAATTAATCTAGTTAGGGCTTAGCATTTCAATTAACCAAAATTTCTCAAATAAAACATAAATTATCAACATGATTAACTAAGCATGATTGGAACTAATCATTGAACATATATAAAATAATTTAAACACGTTCACATCATTTAGGTATCACAAACCTAGGGTTTATACATCTTAAATTAATAAGAAAACTCAATTAATTGTTAAACTAGGGTTGACACATGATTTAAGCATGATTAATAAATTACAATAAAAATAAAAGAAACCCTAATGATCATGATCATCAACTAATATAAACAGCAACTAAATCTATAGATTTTCACATTGGTTTAAAGATTAACATCATAAACTAAGATTTTAAAACATCGGGTTAAGCTTAAACATGAGATTCACCAATTAAGCATATTAAATATTGAATTAACTATAGGGAAAGGTTTAGAGGAAGATGATGTTACCTCAAACGTCATGTTGAACTCCTGAACACGTACGTACATGATCCCTCTTCACCAAAGTTGCAAAATCCTGCCTTCCTCTCGACAAACGCCTCAAGAACTCTCCCAATTCTTACAAATTATGATTAGGGTTTGAGAGAGAGAAAGAAAGGCCGCTAGGATTTGAAAAACTGATGAAAAGATGTGTTTTTTATTTGTAAATATATATATATATATATACTGTATGTGAGCTGGCAGCTCACATACATTATGCGCTGCAGGGAGTTAAATGAAAAATGTCCGCACAACTTGATTCTCGTGACCAAATTCATTTTATTTCCCCAAATCTCTCTCATGACCTCCTCTCTCCCAGATCTCAAATCCCAGATCTCGTCACCAGATCTCTCTCCCCAAATCTGAACTCCGACCCACCGCTCTCTCTCCCCAAATCCTCTCTCCGACGCGAGCTGCCGACCACCGCGTGAGTTCCTCTCTCTCCCCAAATCCTCTCTCCGACGCGAGCCGCCGACCACCGCTTGAGTTCTTCTCTCTCCCCAAATCCTCTATTTGTCCCTTTTGATTCTCGAGTTTATATATTTATATCAGGAAACAGTCGAATTTTGTGTTCTGGGTTTACTTTGATTGTTTAAACCCTATTGGTTGGACCACTAAATAAATAAAAATCAAGCAACCTCCCCTCACGAACAAACTTATTATGAATCAACTACCAAAAGAATCAAATTGTAACCATGGAATTCATTCGGCCATTTAGGCTCGATCATTTACCTGGATCTTTCGCATCACTGCAGGTCACAAGTAATTACCAAAGAAAACTCATCATCTACTGAGAAGCTGTGAACTGAAGGTATGTTGCTTCCCGTTTTAGTTTTCTTGTACTTCTTAACGTTTTGTTACGTGTGCTGTAATTACAAATGCGGTGAATGTTGCGTGAAGAAAAAAGTTGCACGCTACATTCGTTGCCGGTTCTGGATATTTGTTTGTTTTTTTTAATTGTCGAGATTTTTCTCTCTCAAATCCAACTTTGGTGTTTGAAGCAAGAGATTTTGAATTTTATCCAATCATTTAATATTATTGTGGGTCCAGCCTAATATGAGGTCAATCAATCTCTGTATATAAAATTTTCTTTGTTAGCTAAGCTTACTGCTATTAAATTCTAACCACAACAAAAATACTAAGTTTGTTTTTCTTGAATTTATTTTCTTCTTTAGGAGTTTGGAATGGAGGAAACAAATTCAAATAGTGTAGAGTTCGGAATGGGAGAATCAAGTGTTATTGGAAGTGAAACTGCGGCCAATTCTGTAAATGCTCCTAAACCACTACTAGGAATGAAGTTTAATAGTCATGAAGAAGCTTATAACTATTATAACTCTTATGCATTGTTGATGGGTTTTGGAATAAGGAAGAGCACTGTGAATTACTCTCGCAAGACTAGAGAAGTGGTAGACAGAAAGTTTGTTTATGATAAGGAGGGCTATAAACCTAATAGTGGCAAGATAGAGATCCCTCTTCGGCGAGAGACCCGAGTGGGATGTAAGGCAATGATGCGAGTTAAATTATTGGAGGACAAATCGTGGGAGGTCACGGGGTTTGTTGAAGAACATACAAATCATGTGTTGAGTAGTCCAGACAAAGCAAAAATGCACAGATCACATCAACAATTCCATAAAACTCAAAGATGTAAAAACTTATTGATAGTCTACGAGAAGAAGGTATGTCTCCTTCCACTATTTCTCGCGTTATCAATGCAACCAATGGAAGAGACGGTGAATTTGTGACATCACAACAGTGCATTGATCATATCAGAACCCAAAGAGTCAACAATATTGGTCATGAATGCATATCTATCATTCGACATTTTCAGAGTATGACAGCGAATGATCCAGAATTTTATTTTGCAATAGAAGTAGACAGTAGTGGACAAATGAGGAGTGTATTCTGGGCCGACGGAAGATCAAGAGCATCTTATTTGCAATTCAGTGATGTTATTGCGTTTGGTGTGACATACAGAACTAATAAGTTCGGTCTTTCATTTGCTCCATTTACTGGTGTAAATCACCATTGGGGCTTGTGGTGCAATAGTTCTTCAATTGAACAATGTGAAGGATATTGGGTTGAGATGAAAGAGACGTTTGATATAAATGAATAAGGGGAGGGATGGTTGCAAACAGTTTACAAATGCAGAGAACATTGGGTGCCGTGTTATCTGAAGGACACTTTTTTGCTGGAATGAGATCAAGCCAAAGGAGTGAAAGTATTAATGCATTTTTTTATGGGTATGTTAACTCACAGACTCAGTTACACGAGTTTGTGACACAATATGAAAAAGCAGTAACTCATCGTCGCTTAAGTGAAGCCCATGAAGATTTTAAGAGTCTGAACACAAAGCCGGTCATGCTCCTTGGACATCCAATTAAGGTCCAAGCTGGGGAAATGTATACACGCAATATGTTTGATGTGTTCCATACTGAATTCAAAGGATTTGGTACAGAGTTCTGTGAAGAATTGAGAAAAGATGGGGACATTGTTGAATACATGGTCTGTAAGTTTACAGATAGAGGAAAATGGGAGGTGGTTACTTATGAACAATCCAGTCAGATGCAGTTCTGTTGCACTTGTGCTTTGTTTGAAACTAATGGTGTGCTATGTAGACATATATTATCGCTAATGATGGCTAGGCAAATGGATTCATTACCCGACCACTACATCCTACACCGTTGGACCATACATGCAAGGCATCGTAACATTGGGGTTGGCAACATTGTATTTGGAAGAAACATCACCAGCTGTGAAGAGAAGATTAATTTATTAAAATCTTGGGCTTTAAGAGAAAAATTCAATAATGTGCTCGAGCTTGCATTTGATTCAGAAGAGAAGCTGCAACAACTTGATGATGTGCTAACAAATTTCATGGAATCACTTGAAGAAGAAGTTGGAGAAACTCAAGATCAAATTATGGATATTCCTCAACCTTCCGCACCCATTTCACATACAATAGAGAACATTCCTCAGATAACAGTTCGTGATCCTGATAGACCTGCAAGGACTAAAGGTCGTCCACGCAATGCTACTAGAATCTAGTCAGGTTTAGAACAGGCACAAGAAAAGAAAGAAAGGAAGAAACGCATATGTAGCAGATGTGCCATATGTAGCAGATGTGGTGAACTCGGGCATTATAGAACTAGTTGTAAAGTTAACTTGTAAATGTACCATTTTCCTTTCTATTCAGTTTTAGCCCTATATAAGTTTATGAAACTTGATAGCACAAAGTCATATCTCATGATTAATTTGTCATATAATTTGCAGCTAAACATATGCTCGGGTGGTGGATGTATTGGTTTGTTCAAAAAGTCATATCTCATGATTAATGTACGCATGATTGCTTGCATTTTTGTGTATCAATCTTTAACAGCGCTTTATTTACTCTGTTTTTAACTTTTAACAAACAATTTATTTGCTTGTGCATGTGTTTCTCTTACAGCGCTACCACTAACACAGGAACAAGCACAAGCAGCTCAGGTTCATCCACAACTGTTGCTGATTGTCTTGTAGCTGCTGATGTATTACTACATTTTATGTATTAAGACTGATTGTGTCTTGTAGCTGCTGATGTGTTAAGACTAATGTATTAAGACCGATGTATGTGTGTGTTATTGGTTAATTGATATGGATTGTTGTCTTGTAGTCCACAACTCTGTCTTATGCCTTCAGGCTGGTCCAAGGATAACTTTTCTTTGTGTATTGTATTCAGGCTGGTCCAAGGATATGTTAAGAATTTGCTTATAGGCAGATGAAGATTTTTGCAGCAGTTCTCCTTTATATCTTCGAGTTCAAACTCCGCAATCAAAAAGAAGTTATCAACTATAGAACCATTACTCTATACATTGATAAAGGTCTCCATGTATATGTTGTTCCAAGACAGAAAGTACGAGTCATGCTTTAGTTTGATGCAACTGTTGGAAATAATATGAGCTTGCTATGTACAGTGCAGGCCATATGTCTCTGGTGTATCTGGATACAGTTCAGGTTTTGTAATGTAACCATGTATTTGTTAGTCGAATGGTGTTCTTAGTTTCAAGTTTAAACATCCGACTGCATCTCCCAATGGAATCAACAGTAATCAATATGTACAAATATACACATGGATTCGTTAACTGAGAAAGATGCACAAATGTTGCAATCTCACATAACAGCGTTAAAACAATGTCATTTTCCAACTCGATAGAAGCAATAAGAAACCGATATTAACTACTAATCATCCTAAAACACAAACAAAAGTGAAACAGAACATCTCAAACACTCCTTATGTGGATAGAACTTTGACGGTCATCAAATTATGGTCATCGACAAGCCTTCAACCAGCAATAAGCTTAAATTTTATGTCGCAAATGAAATCTCTTATCAATTTAGTGCAGAATTCAATACAAATTGATTGTATAAGAAAAACTATCCACCGCCATATATTATCAGAGTTTCATATTTCCCCAATTCTATTTCGAATGATCACACTACCCATCTGCAAGTTGGACCCCATATCAGAGTTTCATATTTCCCCAATTCTATTTCGAATGATCACACTACCCATCTGCAAGTTGGACCCCAGAATTCGTTCAGTAGGATTTCGCATAAAGGCAAATGAAGGCAATTGTAGCTGCGCTTGAGATCACACTACCCATCTTGTAGTCCACAACTCTGTCCTTAAAAAAAACGCGCACACACACAATGAAAAGCATTCGTAACTAAAACAAAGGGAATCAACTCAGTAACAGAACATCGATAGCAGCGCAGATTGTTATTGATCTGATACAAACAATATGACATAAGTTCTCACAATCACATAAGTTCTTACTAATACATAAGTTCTCACAATCTCACAATCACATAAGTTACTCGATACATAAGTTCTCACAATCACATATTTTTTGCAAGAGAGAAAAAAATAAATACGACAACGATACATATTACAAACACTAATATTGTAAACACTGAACCTAATGCAAAAGCATAGATGGGGGAAATAGTAGTTCTTGAGCTCGATGCAGAATCAGGTGTCGGGACATAAAAAGGTGTTTGGACATGCCTTGAGTTGGATGCTGAATCACAAGCGATGCTGTGCTTATCTCATTCAACCAAAGCCTCTACGTACGTTGCATACCCTTTATATGCGGCATTTGGAAATTTATCAACTTGCATTTTACAGTCCTCCCAATTATTAAAAATTCCACATCGTCGACCTCTCTTCACAATGTAAAAACTCTTTCTTGCCATAGACCACCTAAAAAATTATGGTTTGAAGCAAAATCACAGTAAAAACTCTCTTAATTTCTTTGTGGAATTAAGAGAAATTATAAGTCCAAATTCGAGAAGTAATTGCTACCACTGAGGGAAGAATAAATGGATGTAGGATACTTTATTAAATTTGCAAAAGTAGCCCAAATACAACATCGAGAGAGAACTCATCTATACACCATAATCAATTAGGAACCATGTTCATTTCAAGCTCTTAATCTAGTTAATGACAAAAACATCATTGGTAGTCACTCGTGAGTAGATGATAATGCTCGAAAACATCTAGGGATGCATAAAATTAATTATTTCCTTCAGTTTCTACTAAGTAAAGGAGTATCTTACATCTAATACACGCGACATGCACAAGGTTTTAACCAATTTACACTGCTTCAGCAGTTCATTATCCGATCTGCAGCATCAATAAGAAACCCTAGCATGAATAACTACACATTAAAGCTATAGAGAAAATCCATACATCTTCATGAACCATGGCTCCTCGGAAAGTAATCTAAACGCGAAATCATCAGCGGATGCAGATTCAAGAAGTATTCGTCAATTGAACACCGATTCTACTTAGAATGAGCCGAAATCATCAGCGGATGCAGATTCAAGAAGTATTCGTCAATTGAACACCGATTCTACTTAGAATGAGCCAAAGATTCAAAGCGATCGTCGTTTTCTCAAAATTTCAGCATCTAATCTTTCAAATATTTGATCTATCCAAGAATCGCCTCGATTCTCCATTTCCGATCGAATCAACAGCAAAGACATAGAAAATTCAAAAAATCAAAAACAAAAAAAAATCAAAGAACTGACCTTAGAATCGAGCTAGGGTTTAGGAAATCGACAGCGAGCGGAGCTGAGGAACAGAGGTTTAGAGAAAGAGAGCGGTGGTCGCGGCGGCTGCAAGGAGAGCGGAGGTGCTCGCGTCGGAGAGAGGAATTGGGGAGAGAGAGGAAGCGGCTCGCCCGTCGCGAGTTCAGATTTAGGGAGAGAGAGCGGTGCGTCGACGGCTCGCGTCGGAGTTCAGATTTGGGGAGAGAGATCTGGTGACGAGATCTGGGATTTGAGATCTGGGAGAGAGGAGGTCACGAGAGAGATTTGGGGAAATAAAATGAATTTGGTCACGAGAATCAAGTTGTGCGGACATTTTTCATTTAACTCCCTGCAGCGCACAATGTATGTGAGCTGCCAGCTCACATACAGTTTTCTCATATATATATATATATATATATATATATATACTGCAAACCCGAATCAAATCAGCCCAAACCCGAAACAGGAAACCCAATCAGACTGGAAAATAATCTTTGGTATTTTAGCTATAACTTTCATGTTCAACCTCTGAATAAGGTGATTTAAGATGTGTTGGAAAGATATTGAAAATAACTACAACTTTTCTCTTTTGAGTTTTTTTTAGATTCAAACTTTATCGGTGATATAACTGCAAACCCGAATCAAATCAGCCCAAACCCGAAACAGGAAACCCAATCAGACTGGAAAATAATCTTTGGTATTTTAGCTATAACTTTCATGTTCAACCTCTGAATAAGGTGATTTAAGATGTGTTGGAAAGATATTGAAAATAACTACAACTTTTCTCTTTTGAGTTTTTTTTAGATTCAAACTTTATCGGTGTGTAATGCAGATATACACTTAACTGGTTATTTTTCTAGATTTCTTTTTTGTGCATGATTAACCTTTGTATACTCTCATATATACTCTTAATTGATCTCAAATCAATTGTTAGCATAATTATTCATCCATAAATAATATTCATGATAATTTAGAGCTCATTTATCAATATAATTCATACTTTTTTCCAAAATTCACGCGGTTTTACAACTTATCTCAAGGTACTTTGCCTGAAGATCTTGTCGAAGCCAGGCGTCTACAGGGGAATTCTCGCAGTTACCTCATGATCGACAAACAACTCTATCGGATGACTTATTCAAGAGGTAGTGTAGGACCCTATTTGCGGTGCCTCCGGCCACAAGAAGCTAACTATGTCCTCAAGGAGATTCATGAGGGCACATGTGGAAACCATCTTGGGCCCGAACCCTCGTGCAAAAAGTCATCCCCCAAGGGTACTACTAGCTAACTATCTTAGTTGAGTCGAGACGACTCGTCTCTTATTACCACAAGTGCCAGCTCTTTTTTCCATCCCTCGAGCAATGGTGACCAAGCTAACTTCAATCTTGAGCCCTATACAATTTGCTCAATGGGTATTGGATCTGCTAGGTCCTCTCCCCTAAGATTCAGGACAGAGAAAGTTGCTCATTGTGGCGATTAACTACTTCACCCAATGGATTGATGCCAAAGCACTGGCTAAGATTGGTGAGAGTAACATCATAAGTTTTGTGTGGAAATCCATCGTTTGCCATTTTGGTGTGCCCTGGTCTTCTATGAGTGACAACGACACCCAATTCAACAGCGGAGGCTTCCGCAGCTTTTACGAGGAATACGATATTCATCTCAAGTTCTCCTCCGTCATAGTAGGGAACTGGGTGGAAGAGTTGTCTAGTATCCTCTTGTCAGACTACATGACCCATAATAACTCAACCGGGGAGACTCCATTCAAGCTAGCTTATGGCACTGAAACAGTCACTCCCATCGAAGTAGGCATGCCGACCATCAGACTCCAATACTTTGATGAGGACCTGGACTCTAAAGGACTTCAAGTAGGGCTCGATCTCCTAGACGAGACCCGAGAGAAGGCACTCCGGACCCAAGTCACCAATTAACAATGAATCACCCTCTACTACAATAGTAAAATCCGACCAAGTAGATTCAACGCTAGCGACCTCATCCTCTGCAAAGCTTTTTTCGACAAAGACATCCGAAGAGACAAGCTAACTCCTAACTGGGAAGGCCCGTATACAGTCTTTGAAGAGCTGTGACCAGGCACTTATCGACTAAGGGCCCCATACGGGAGAGTTTTGCAACACCCCTAGAATATCAAACATTTGCGGCATTATTTTTAATAATTTTGTAAATTTCATTTAATATTAATGAAATTTTTATTAAAACTGACTTGATTCCTGTTTTGTACTCCCGTAGTGCCTAATTTATGCAGGAATTCTAAGCCCTTGGTGCCTTATCAGGGTAAACCTAAGGCACTCTCACCATATGGTCGACTCCCACATTCACCTTTTGACCATAATTGCTATATTGAAGCGCTAGGCGTCTACGTAAGTCCTGAGTACCCAACCTCCGAGTTGTCATTTTATCGAGTTGCGATCAGGGTGGCCCTCAGTAGGGCGAAAGACCTAGTCGACTTCAGCAAGTTCTAGGCACAGCCTTATGGTTATAAAGACC